GGGTGGTTCGGGACACAAATACAACGTAGAATTGTGTGCTTCATAAATGCAAGTTTATTTCTCAAGTTCCATGGCAACTGGCAATAACTGATAATATTAGGTCCAATGGGCAAACGCAACAAGGCAGAGGCCTCGGGCACCAGCCATCTCTGGGGATAGCCAGTCACGCAGCCACGGCAGGGAGCCCCCTGGAGTTGTGCGAGGCACTGCACCTGTCTGCCTGGTTACCACTATCCACCATTTAGCCACGGTTTGTTTAGTTCTTTTGCCATCTTATTTCTGACTTCACAATACAGTCTATAAACTTTGTTTTTTAAGTGCACAATGCTTTAAAGGAAGAAAACAATTCTGCACTGGGGAGGAAAACGGAATGAAGCATTAGCGTCTGCTGTCTAGGAGTGGTCTTCTGGTCTCCACCCACACCGGGTGCGAGCCATGCCGGGACTCGGGCTGGGTACCAGGACAGCACAGACTCTCTCTCTCTCGGTGGGAATAAGCTTCCTTTTTTATACTAAGCGTAAGAGTGACCATGTACTATTTTGTCCTTTGGGGAACGTGTGACAGCGAGATAAGGAACCATTAGTAAACCAGTCAGGACAATGAGCCTAAGTCAAGACGACCTGGCAAAGCTAGATGTGCGCTAACTGGACAGCTGTATCTGAGATCTTTCTAGCAAATCTTTGTACCAAAATACACAGTCTAAGGTCTCACTCATCTCTGAAGTCTACTGGCCTCCAAGAGAATGGACTTACTTGACACATCATTCAAGACTGGTCCCCAGAAAGAAGCATTAGGATGTTAGTGACTCTTCCATGGGACAAGGGGCCCAGTACATGAAAGGACATTTCCTGTGCTGCTTTTAGCTCAGGTTTGGCTCACAAAGGGCAGAGGGTACTGAGCTTTAGCTTGACTGGCAGGCAACGGGGGAATGGCGCTGGCGCTGGCGCTGACGTCCAGGGCAGGGCATGCTGCCTAACCCAGCGCTGACACATCCAGCCTGCCTCTTCCTCTGAACCAAGTGGTTTCAACTTTACGGACCTACCAAGTCAGAGGGCTGGCCTAAAATGGTATGCAGGGTCCCATCCAAGGGTAAGCTTTCTCCGCCAGGAAAATCTAGAAGTTGGGCTGAAACAAGCAAAGGCCTCCTGGCAAAGACAGATCCTCTCAATTCAAGGCATTTCTTTGGTCCCCGCACTGCTGTTTCCCAGGTGTACAGAGGGCTGGGACCTGCCACGTGTCTCTTTTCTTTTAGACATTCATCCAATCGCACTGGTAGGCAGTGGGGACAAGTCTTCAGCTTCTAAACATAGTTCATGTCTTAATTCAAATACAGCTCCCGTTTGGCTTTATCAGAAGCAACGCCCCAGTATTTTTGTCAGTAGGGACAGGGGTCCTTTTTCAATGCCTTGGTGTCAACATCAGAATTCCTTAGAGCTTTCTGTCCTTCCTGCATGTGGCTCTCGCTGCACCTGGGCCTCACCTCCCTCTCACCCCTCTCAATCCCCTCCATCTGGGCGGGTGTGGTGGGGGGCGAAACCCTGCCAGGGATCACTTAGGCCCACCTACTCCTTTTCTGCCGTTTCTGTATATCCCATGAAACTCTACAGAGGAAGCCACCCCTTGAGGACACAGATCGGAAGATTAGATGGTTAGTGACAGTTACCCAGGTTCTTCAAGAAAGGAATTTCCACTTATTTGTCACTGTCTTACCTGACATCCTCACCGCCCACCCACATGCTGGCTGCTGACTGAAGACTCTCCCATGGTCAAAAGACCCCAAGCTTTTCTGACCCCGGGAGCCTTATCAAGGTGCCATCTGCTGCTTTGGGAGATGGTGGCCTCTTACTGACCGAGACGTGATGGAGAGCAGGTCCGGCAGAGCCAGGCAGCGGAGCAATGCCTCTCCAACTTCAGTCACGGGGAGCTGGTTAAAAGTGCAGACGCCTGCCCAGAGGTTCTGAGTCAGCCGACTCCGGCAAGGCTAGGACTCCTGCATTTTCATGAGCTCGTCCCCCTCCACCCCCCAGACGCGGATGGAGGCAGCCTTCCACCTTCGGCTCTGAGGAACCCGTAGAGCAGTGATGAGGCAGTTACCTGCGGAGGAGCAAATCACACACCTTCCACCAACACGCGGGCACGCTGCCCAGCAGCACTGACCCTCGGCCGGGGACGCCTCTGACCCCACGTGAGCCCTCTCCCCACAGCCACCCCACCCCACGTCTCCTGTCCCCACACCACCTATTCTATCATCTCCTAAATAAAGGCGACACCTCTGAACTCCCGGTACGTTAAGGTATGCAGTTATTTTATTTCCTTAGCCTGACAGCATAAACTTCATTAAACAAGAACCTGCAGCTGACAGAACTGACACACAGACCCCCCCGCCGAGGAAGGACCCCTTTCACTAGCAGAGATGAAGTGTCATGTCCGAGATGAATTGAAATGTCATGTCTGAGTGTGATTCCTGCTTCCCACCCCCACCCAGGTAACCAGCCCTAAAGGGAAGATGACCAGAGTCAACAGGGTCCCCGTGAACAGCTAACAGTCACCCGCTGAGATTTTTTATAACTGGCATCTGCAGCAAATGAAAACCACAGGAGGGGAGCACTGGCCACCACTGGGCATTTCTGTGCGTGTGGGGGAAGGTTTGGCAGCCCGAGAGTGAGAATTTGGGAGGAGCTGAGTGGGAGGCGCAGACAGTCTACCTTACTCACACCTGGCCCTTCCGTCCGTAACACACCTCTGTCCCTCGTCACGGACCGAAGTCTGGGAAATGCTAGACCAGTGGTTTAAGCCTGTAACTGGGAATGGCTGAGGCTCATTCAAGTCCAAGGTGGGTGTGGGAAAAGGGGCGCCCAAGAGCAAGCAGGTTAGACAGAGATGCTCAGTACTTAGTCAATTCCAGTTAATGCTACCAAAACTACCCTCATCAATGGCCCGCAGGCCTGGCTCCTCCAGCAGGAGAGCTCCGATCAAGTGCCTGGGTCGGAGGTCTGCTGCTGTGACACCTGTGAGATTACAGCTGGGATGCGGGGAGGTGTGGAGACAGGAGAGGTCAGGGGCCACAATGCTTTCATTACAATGGGTCTCTTGGTCCCCAGGAATGGTCCACTACCACGAGTCCTAAAACGGTCCCATCCCCCTTCCCTACCTGTCAAATGTGCAAACGTCAAAAATAGAATCTCTGGCCCAAGAGAAGGAGAGTGGGAAGTTACGGGTGGTCCACGACCTCTGGCCCCAGCTTGCCCACCTCCTGACTTTTCTACGGCAATCGCACGAAAGTGAAATCACAGCAGTGTTGTGAAGCTCCGTCGTCCTCACCCTTTTCTATCAAAGCCAGTCTGACAGCTCCGTCCTGACCTGCCTGCTCCCTGGGGGCCAAGAGAGTGGCAAAAAACATCAGTTGAGCGTGTGAAAATATGTTGATGGTGTGTGCAGTGTAGTGTTTCCAGATGTCTTCACCTTCTGTGTCCTCCATGGTGGGAGCCCTCCCTCTCTCTCCCCAAGCCCCACACACGCCCCTCCCCCTGCCCCGAGTCCAGGCGCTCCCATCGGCCGGCTTCCAGCACTCATTTCCCGTAGACGCTCTCGTCACTGTAGGCCACGTACAGAAAATAGTCTTCCTCGTGGTTGTCCTGGGGGAGGATGAAAGAGGACAGGTTCGAAAACATCATCGCATTCTCTCTAGGACCTGAGCCTCACACAACCTTGGGAGGGACGTACGGAAGGCATCCTGAGTCCCCACTAAAAAGAGGCCTGAAGCCCAGGGGACTATAGTCAATATCTTGTAATAACCTATAATGGAAAAGAATCTGGAAAAGAATATCTATCTATATACATGTATAACTGAATCACTTTGCTGTACTCCTGAAATTAACACAACATTATAAACCAATTGTACTTTAATTAAAAAAAAAAAAAAGAAGGATTGAAGATAAAGAAATAGAAGTGGCCAGGACTCAACTTTGAGCTCTCAAGGTCACAAAAACCTTCATGGAGAACATCACATACACATATCAAGAACACAAACATGACCTTAAGAAGCTCATTCTGGCAAAGGGAACGTAGATACAATGTAACATCTATACTGGACTATGTACCAATAGGGAGTGTACGCTGTGGAATAAAAATCAGAGGTTACTGGAGGAGTTCAGGCAGTCCACAGATGGGACACCTTAAGAATGCAGCAGCCGGTGAACTCCTTTAGGAAATAACGCAGTTACAATCTTTGCTGACACAGCAGGGACAAGTCCTTTACTACAGTTTTCTCAGATGCTGACCGTTTACCAGTTAAACCAAACGAAATCACATTAAATTGTTTTCTCCAACTGAGTTTATCTGTTAAGGCAAATGAATCCGTTTCAAGGCTGCCTTAATTCTTCAATTTCATTTTATTTGGAATTTTGTTGGTCAGAAACCATTTCCTGCTGTTTCAACACAGATGACCCGGCGTTAAAGCGCTGGAGGAAGACAAGTCTAAGAAGAGGATTCAACGGGGCTGAATTTAGTGGGGCTGCTCATTCCCCAAAGGACAAGTGGCATCTGATCTCCCAGGGCCTTCCACTGCCGTGGGAAAGAGGATCCTGGTAACACCGCCTGCCCCACTTCCCAGGTGTGTTATCCACACGCACTGGGACAGAAGCTTGAGAACGCCAGACGGCAGGGCACCGTGCCCGGGACCATTACCTCATACAGCTGGCCCATGGTGGCGCTGGTCGGAGGGATGGTGTTGTTCACAAAGAAGAATAAGGCGTCCTCAGGTCTCAGGTGGATCCTCTTCCGGATTAAGAAGTAGAACTGGCCGACTGGATGAAGGGAGGTGTGAGAAAAGGCAGGCGAGGCGGAAGAAAACACAAGATTAGCAGAAGGATCGGATCCAGGAAAAAATTCTACTGCACCTGCTCCAAAAGGTTCCGGGTGTACCTAACCACCTGGGCAGAGCCGGATCCTGTCCTACAGCTTGAGAAACAAAAAGTGAGACTCACAGGAGCCTGCATCTTCCCTGACGCGCCACCGAGGAGTTTAATTCCTCACTCCTTCCCCACTTGACTCAATTTCTGACCTGACACCTTTGAGGGAATAAGACGAAAGTGAGACAGCCCCACCACCGTCTAAGCCTCATCTGAGACACACTCCCATGCCCGCTCCCACCCCGAGACAAACTGGTGATGGGAAGAGGTCCACTGGACTGCGGGAACCTGAGCTCCATCGCTGAGCCCAACGCTGGGGCCGTTGAGTGTGGTTCAAGGCTTTCCCTTTTTATGGAGCACAGTGCAAAAGTTCTATAAGGCTGATACCCAACAGATCTAACAACCCTGGAGCCAACATATCTACAAAATCTCTCCAAGTGTCTCCCGGATGCAGTGGTTATCCCATTAAGCATCAGTGTGGAGAATGCATGTATGCTCTGCAATTCCGAACAGTACGTACAAAATCCTCTGCAATTCCAAACGGTATCTACAAAATTTAAGTAACAAAAAATGGTAGCTTGAGGAGACAAGATACTTAGCTGAGAATCTCTAAAATGTGATCCTGCCAAGAAACGAGCCTGGTTTTCCTTTCGGAGTAAACTGATAACACAGTAACGAAGCTGAATTTCAAGCGGTTTAAATCAGGGACCTCTGATCTGTCCTTTCAGTCTTTTGCACTTTGCTGCATTTAAATCAAACAAGGTGCAATGACGGGAAATGCTTAAGGGAGGACATGGGTGATGGAAAGGACTCTGACGTCACCATTCCTGAACCACCTGACTCCCTGAAGAATCCCACTCACTTTCTTCCACTCCCCTCCTCTCAACCTCACAGTCTCATGCATGCAGGAGGGTCTGGGAATGCTCTGCGGGGTAAGAAGGGTCGGGGCGGGAAAGTACGTTACCAGTGAGGTCAGAGGGCACCAGGTACTTCCTCTTGTCCAGATCAGGTACCCTGGCCTTGGGAGCCTTTTCCACAATCACCTGTGAGGAGAGCAGAGACTGGGAATGAAAACTGCAAAACCCAACCTCGTATTTTTCCGTCCGCATCTTACAGCTGCCCCATCTGAAGTGGGTCTGTCTAGGCCCAATGAAACGTGTGCATTTCTCACTCCCCCCTTACCCCTTACCAAATGTGTGGGGAAATGGCCTTTCTTAGTGAGGCTGTAGTTTTGTGACGGCAAGGACAAGAGGATGGGGAGGGTACGTGATGAAGAGAACCATGATTTTAATTATAAGTTTCCTGTCGGATATACTGTTAAGATATACACCTTCTGGTGTTTAATTAGAGCGCCAGGAAGATCGTCTGGATTCTCTCAGATGGTCCTGAGTAACTGTTAGTTTTATTCTTTCTTATAAATGCTACTTATTAAAGGTACAGATAAGGTGGTTTAAATTTTACACTTTGTCAACATTTTTGAGAATGAGTGCAACTATGAAGTGAATATTAAGTTTTTTCACTTAATAGTGTCTTGAACATATTTTTTACAGTCATTCTCAAACATTTTTGAAATATTAAAACAGTTCTCATGATATTCTTTGATGTCAGTACAATAACTTCATTTACCAATATTGATTATCTGTTAGCATTTTAGGAGATTTTCAATGTCTACATTAAATATTTCTATAATACTTCAAGTTTCAGAACTGTAGTGGAAAGGAAAATACATGTAAATTTAAAGACTTTTTATACATGTAGATTTATGAAATAAAAATATTTAGAAATTTTAAATATTAATTTAAATTTAAATATTACAAAAATATATTTAGCATTTCTATGTTATATAAATGATATGATATACAAAGTAATTTAAATTATACATATTTATTAAACAAGTTTTCTCTTGCATAGCACAGGGAACTATATTCAATATCTTGTAGTAACTCATAATGAAAAAGAACATGAAAATGAAGGTATGTATGTATATGTATGACTGAAACATTATGCTGTGCACCAGAAATTAACACACTGTAAACTGACTATACTACAATAAAAGTAAATAAATAAAACAAAAATTTAAAAATTATAAATATTTAAAATCTATTGGAAAACCATCAGTTTTAGATTTTTGGTTTAGAAAATATAGTCATTCTAGACAGAAGGTATGGCAATTACAGAAAAGTTAAAGAAGTAGAAATAAACACTGGACATGTATGTCTAGTAGCTGTGTGATCTTCAATAGGTCACTTAACCTCTCTGAGCTTCAGTATTCCAATGAGTAAAAGGAAAATGACAACTTTCAAACTCATCTTGTACGGAATCATGATCCTGATACAATGAACTTGAATAAGTTATGAAATTTTATGTGAGAATGCTTTGTGAATTATAAAGGTCTAAACATAAGGGCTGACTTGGAGAAATCTGAAGCTTTTAAATTAAACAGGACAAATTACCGTAATGAAAAACCTATTCATTTTTGCACAGAACAAGAAATTCTGCACCAGGAAGACCAGAAGGACATGATCACACTTAAAAATAAAAATAAATCTAGGTGCAAAATAAATGACTCTCAGGTACAAAATGTACAGTGCGAGGAATATAAACAATAACTAAGTAACACAGTGACACATCGTAACTAGACTCATTACAGTTATAATTTTGAAACATACAGAAAAAAATCACTATGTTGTGTAACAGGAACTAACACAGTGTTGTAGGTCAAGTATACTTTAAAAACAAACAGACAAAGGTATAGAAAAGGAGATCAGATTTGTGGTTACCAGAGGTGGGAATTGGGGAGGGCGGTAGCAGGGAGAACTGGATGAAGGTGGTCCAAAAGTACAAACTTCCAATCATAAGATAAATAAGTACTAGGGATATAATGCACAACATGAGAAATGTAATTAACACTGCTGTGTGTTATCTATGAAAGTTGCTGACAGCAAGATTTCTGATTACACGATTTTTTTTCCCTGTTTCTTTAACTTTGTTTCTATATAAATGATGGATGTTCATTCAACTTACTGTGATAATCATTCCACAATGTATGCAAATCAAATCATTATGATGGACACAAACTTATACAGTGACATGGATCAATTATACCTCAATAAAACTGGAAGAAAAAAATTAGTAAGAAACACATAAAAATAAAAACTGGAGTAGTGATATGTGAATCAGAAATTAAAAGAAAATATAGGAAGAGCATCAGGAAGAGACCAGCGAAGGCCCAGCAACGAGGATGGACAGGAGGCAGCAGGTAAATGGAACCAAAGGTTAGGAGGGACCCTGAGACCTGGCAGCTCCAGCTCCAGCCCAAGAAGGAAACCAAGGAGAGAGCAGAAAAAAAGCGATGAAGCCAAGTGGAAATATGACATCAGGAGGGGAGGGTGGGGTGAGAGGGACAGGAGAGAGAGGCAATCATTAAGGCCTTGGTTTACCAGGAAAATATTTAAGTTTCTGGGAATCCCACCTCTACTCCCCACTTACTGTGGGCCTTGGGCCAGGTGCTCTGCCTGTTTGGTTCTGAATTTTCCTTATCTGTGAAATGAGGCTAATACTCCACAGGGCTGTTCATGATTTTTTTTTTTTAAAAAAAGACACTCTTTTCTTAAGTTTCCTGCTATGTTGCAGGTTTTCAATACACTGTAGCGTAAAGATAACTTCAAAATCCCATGAAACTCTCAAGGCCCAGGCACAACTCTTCTTTTGGATGGCAGCTACACAGACACATGAGGCGAAACTCAAGTCATGCGAGAGGTCAGGGTACGTGACTGCTTTAATCACACCAGAGGTCCAACTGGAAAGGGCTTTTAGCAATCATTTACTCTACTCTCTTTTCTGTAAACAAGACACTTGAGCACAGCGAGATTCAGCATCTGCCCAGAACTAGAACCAAATCCCAGAACTCAGCAGAGCTCTTGGTAGGTCAACACTGGAAAGGACACACGCTGAACACGTCAGGAGCAGCTGGGAGGCTGACCACTGGTTCAAACCTATCTGGAGGAGCCATGAGATCTAAGTGATGGTCATAATAGTTTACAAAGTATCAAAGAGGCAAAACATTGAACACCAAACAATGAGCAGAAAAACAAATGGGGGGGGATTGCTGAACTATTCTGGGTGAATGCATGGAAAAGACTGAAATGGAAAGGGCTATTTTGAGGAAATACATGGGAATTTTAACTAGACTTAGGCACAGGTACAATTCTGACTTTGTGGCTTGAAAAGAACTTCTGGAACAGAGCCTCATCCTAGAGAATTCTCAATAAACAGTAGTCATTTTGCTGACTGTGATGTTTTCCTGGCAATCATATTACCACCTATGAACTCTTGAGGGCAGCAACAGTTTACTTCTCCGTCTCCAATAAACAGTGTGAGGCACACAGTGCCCACTTAAATAATTCTGTTTAACAGAACTGCATTAGAGACTGAGAAACAATATGGCAGGGAGGGCCCAACAGCCAGGGTGGGAATCCCAGCTCTGCCACGCACCAGCCACCTGAAGTCGTTCAGAAGTTCCTTCACTGCTCTGCGTTTCAGATCCTTCCTCTGCAGAATGGGAAGGCTGGCAATGGTGTGAAGATTTAGTCAAGGGCAGTGAGAATACTCCCAGGTGCACAGTAAACCATTAATACAGGCTAGTTGTCACTTTTAAGTCTTCCTTTAAGAAAGTAGGATGGGTTATCACCAGACTTGAGGGACAACTTTGAAAGCAGTCGTCCAAGGTCCAGAGACTAATTTGTGAAGGATCTTTTCCTGGAGAATAGGGCTAGCTCTCCCTTTTAGCTGAAAAACCTTTTGTATGTAATTCCTGGGGAATGAAACAGCCCCAATGTCTCCTCTACCTTATAGCAAAAGGACTGCAAGGGGTCTACATGGCCACGGTTGCTTCTGCTAGCTGTGAGCACAGGAAAGTTAGACGAAGATTGGAAAGGCGTCCCAAAGAGAGCACCATCCGATCATCGCAATTCCTTTACCTGTAAAATTGTAAGTAATATACATCCTAACGTCCCTGCCCGAAGATAAAGAGGAAAATCCTCAAAGTCCCTAGTCCTCCACCTCCCACACTCAACGACTGTTGCTCCCTCCACTCCACGTTAAAGTCTCCGGCCTTGCAATCTGGCTGCGCAGCTACATTCGAGAAAAGCCAGGCAAGTGGCGGGGGAGGGGGTGACGAGCCAAACGCCCGGATGCAGAAAGACACCTTAATGTTTCGTCTCTGTTCCACCTCACTGCCTGCACTAGCTCTAACGACACAAACCAGAGTCCAAAAACCGAGAGAAAAAGGCCCCAGTCCTTCCTTATTGTGTCCAGGTAATGTGCTCAGGGTAAATACCGGAGGAAGGCTGGCTGCCCCCACACACACTGGAGCCAAGAAGGATGAGGCAGCCTGGCTGCTGCGCGGAGAACGTGACCTTGTCTTCCGGGCCACGCCGGTCTTGTGGCGCCCCCTCCCTCCCTAATCCAAACAAAATAAAAGAAAAGATCCACTGCCTTCCAAACACTTCCCTCCCAAACCCCAAGGCTCCGAGGGCCAAAGTCAATTTGGTGAACGGAGAACCATCCAAGGCGGAAATGGATGGGAGCAAATCCACCGCATCTGTTCTTCCCAAAACAATTTCCACGCAGTCTTAAAGGCAGCAAATACATGGCGCCAAGCTCTCACAAAAGGGCCACATTCTGAGCGCATCCCAGCCCACACAGCCTCCGGATACTGCTGAGTCACTCAAACGTAGGCTCCGCTCTAGAACTGCGGTCAGCTGGGAAGATGCGGACGGGCCCAGGGCACACGGCGTGTCGAGCGGTGCGCAGCCCGAACGTCCACTCCACCGGCTGCGGCCGCCGAGGGGCCGCTCAGGGTCAGTACTTTTAGGGACCACCCCCTTTCCGGGCGCCTCGGGGCAGCCACCACCGACCCCCCGCCCCCAGCCTCCCCCCTCCCCCTCCCCCCTCCCCACGCCACCACCTCCACCACGGGACCCCGGTCCGGGT